TATCTCAAGTCTGTTATCAGAGATTATTCTCCGTTAGATACCTGCTATCGTAGGCAATATTTATCTAAAGTCTGCTATTGTAGACTATTCCTGTTTAGATGCCTGCTATCATAGGCAATATTTATCTAACGTCTGCTATCGTAGACTATTCCTGTTAGATGTCTGCTATCGTAGGCAATATTAATCTAGAGTCTTCAATCGTATACTATTCCTGTATGTGTCTGCTATCGTAGGCACAATTTTATCTCAAGTTTGCTATCGTAGACCTTTCCTGTTAGATGCCTGCTATCGTAGGCTCTATTTATCTAAAGTCTGCTATTGTAGACTAGTCATGTACGAGGGGTTATCTAAAACTTCGTGGACGACTTTATTTGTTGCGTAAAATATATTTGAGATATTGATTTGAAATTCTTACACTGCTTAAAAGAATAAATAACAAATAAACACAGAAAATTTCATGTCAGTAGCTTCTTCTATTACAACAATACGTAATTTTACATAAACACATGTCAGCGACAGCGGCGCACTCCAAAAAGTTATTGACGCAACGTTACGCAGTCGATAACCATTACTGCTTCACAAAGTAATGTCTATCACTATATGTTTATGCCACTTAACACTAATGATAATGAAATTTTATTTTCTCTGTTCGCCTGCTGTTTTTTCAAATGTTTTTGTTAGTCTCATTCCCAAATTACAACAAAATTTTATGAGCAAGCTATTTCCTAATTACTGCGTGTCGTCATTTTTCCGTTGTAAACAATATAGTCGTCTGGCGTTTCTGGCGATTTCAACAAAAAATAACGGAAATAACGTCCATAATTTTAAATAATTACTGAATAAATAAACGATGTTTAGCGGGTTTTCTACGTTAATTATTAGTTTTTTAGCAAAAATATACGATGACTAATTGTGCTTTTCTAGCGGGTGCAGTGTATGTGCCTATTTAAAAGCAATATAAAATCATTATTTATTGACGCAGTTAACTGTTCGTTAAAAAAACGTGTTGATATATTCTACAATGTATGCTGATAAAATTTCATTACAATACATGTTTACGTTCAAAAGATATTTAAAAAGTCCACGAATTTTTGGATAACCCCTCGTATGTGTCTGCTATCGTAGGCAATAGTTCATCTCAAGTCTGCTATCTTTATATGTGTATGCTTAAAAGGCAAATTTGTGCTAAAATCTAATTATATAAGCAATTGAAATTAAGATATTTTCAACATATTTAACCCTCTATAATTTAATGTTTCATTATCATGCTTAAGTGTCATTATTGGTAATTCTTTATAATATATACATGTACAAATGTTATTTTATTGAACATTTCAGTACTTTATGCTAACAAAGACTTGTATTGCTCTTCAAGGTACCCTTCTTTCTTTGGCATAAACACTGGATGGTTGCAAACGCTTTTCTATCATCCATGTTCTTTTGGAGATTAGTCTAGTAAGCCAATACCAAGAAAAAAGGAGGCATAATGGCTCGGACTACACCAAACTTTTAACATGTATTATGTCTTATTTCCAGTGTTAGTTATATTTATCATATAATCATTCATTTAGTCTGATGTTTCTTAGCCAGTTATGCCAAAAAATAAAGATTTAATAGTCTATCACTTGTTTCGTGGTTTTCATTTGATTGGGTATAAATTGAAGTTTACATAGTAAACGCGGTTTATGCAAGATCTAAATTAATTTTACTTTCGATTTGATGTTTACATCGTCGGTATTTGGCTAATATCCGGTTTCTAATATCACGTGACTTAATCTACAAAGTAGGATCCGCATCAGCAAGTAATACGTATGCAGCCTCTCGATTTCCACAGCGCTCTTTGTTTACACGCACATTAATTCAAAAAGTAATTTAACACCACCATCAATCACCGCCTCTTACATTGAAGAACAATGCCTTCTGGTTAAGATCTTTTCAGTATGTCTCTAATGGGGATTAGGCTCGTAAGCCAATACCAAGAAAGAAGGAGGCATACTAGCTCGGACTACACAAGACTTAGTGGTTTTAACATGTTTTATATCTTATTCCCAGTGTTAGTTATATTTATCATATAACAATTTGGTCTGATGTGTCTAAGCCAGTTATGCCAAAAATAAAGATTTATAAAAATCTATCACTTGTTTCGTGGTTTTATTTGATTGAGTATAAATAATAATTCAATGACCCGGAAGCGAGCTAAAACACGAACTTTCAAGTAAAAAGAGTGAAACGGTTTATGACATAGGCTTAGATATATATAACGAATAAAAGGAATGTTCGCCATTAACTTGTTTTATGACATGTATATTAATCAAGGCTATGAAATTAATATAAATGCGAGGAAACCAAAATACCATCCTTATGATTACATTTTATTATCATTTTTTTCCATTGAAATGATTGACATGTTTTGATGCGACGTTTGATATTTAACAATCGAAAGAAAAATGATCAAAGAAAATACCGAGTTGAATTTGTTTACAAAACATCATAAAGCAGTGATGTTACTTCAATGTTCTACCATTGTACATTGGTGTCGAAACATTAAATAAGTCGGCAAACAAGAACTGGATGAGTGACAGGTCGAAAATCGTATCCAACGGCATGAGACCATGTGTTGATGCTTTTTACTTAAAATTAAGAGGCTGTAAAAAGTAATTCCTACCATTAATGTCGGAAATTTAACTAAGTTAGAAAACAGGAAGTAGATTAGCGAAAGACCTGAAATCGAATCCCACAGTATGGACCGCGTGTTAAGGCTGTATACTAAATATCAAGAGGCTGTAAAAAGCAATTGCTGATAAAACTGTTACGAAAATATTTGACCATAACTGTTGAAATTTTATCTGAGTCGGAAAAAAGGAAGACATGAAATCGAATCTACCGGTATGGTATCACGTGAATATCACACATCAAGAGGCTTTTATAAGCAGTTGCCGAGAAACCTGTTACGAAAATGTCATGCTTTTGACCATTAATGTCGAAAATTTAGCGTAGTCGGAAAACAGGAGGTGGATAAGCTTAATACCTTTAATCAAATCAAACGGTATGGGACTACGTGTTAGTGCTGTATACTAGATATCAAGAGGCAGTCAAGAAAAATTCAATGTTGCTTAGTAAAAGAAACTCTATTTCAAAACAAACCCGGAATAGGTGACATTGAATTTTTCTTTTAATTATATGATTTGAAGAAAATATATTGATAATTTCACCTTTGAGCCACATATAGGTATATAAAATCTAAAGACGAATACTTTAATACATTATGCGCACAGAAAATGATAAGATCACAATTGGTATTTTGGAAAATTGAGAAGGCATATAATTTCGCGGTATACGTATGTGTAACTTTAAATTAAAACTATTTTTTTAAAAATCAGTTCTTTATAACTTTTGATGTTGTGAATGATAACATGGACCGATTTAAAGGGAATAATTTTGGATGTACATGTTCAGATGGACAACATAGAAAAGTGTTACTTTATCTGAATGAGCTGTTTTGTTATAAAAATATGATTCAAATGTTTTATCTTTTTAAATTACATTACATATATTTCCTTCTAAGCATTCTCTATGCTTGAATTGATTGTTTCTTTTCAAGGATTTTATTTATCACGCTTACCTTGTTTTCCATAACGCATGCATTTATTTATTCCAACTTTACAGAAATTGTGTTTAAAATATTTATGATTTATACGCTTTTATATTTCTACAATAAATTGTAAAGTATAATCGTTATGTTTAATTTTGCACCATATGACACTATGCGTTTATTTGTCAAGTGCTTATGAAAAAGCGGGAAACCGGAAATAAATGTTGAAGATGAATACGTGTTGTTGTTGGACTTTAATATTAAATTTAAGTATGAACAACAATATGCAAATGTTTTATCACTTTTAAATGAAACAAACACAGTTACAATGAATAGGAATATTGATATCTTTTATTAACAATTTTGAAATTCAAAGTTTTTTTTAAATGTGATTATTTGATGATATTAAAACAAATATGCCTGTGAGCATCAACATAGTAAAGAAATCGTCGAAAGCAGGGTGATAGTAATAGGATAGACTGCATGGTGTAAAATAGGGCAATGCCAATGTTAAATGATAGCAGAACGAGAAAACGCCGTACTTAAGTGGGTAACACAGTTTCGTTTATTCTACAGAGAGTTATTTGCATAAAAATTCACTTCTAAACTTTCAAAAAAATATTCTATAATATATATTTATCTATACACCCTTTTAAAGAATATCAACTTTTCATATTTATAATAACGATTTTGTTTACTATCAAAAGTGTTGTGTATACATGAAATTGCATGCAAAATATACACTGCATCTTAACGGTGTTTTTAATAATACAAATAATAAAAAAGACTCTCAGCCACTGCAAAATTATTACTAAACTGTATGATCTGTATCACAATCATATTTCATGATTTATACAATTTACATTAAGATTTTGGCAGTGTTTTCGTCTAATCATTTGTTGGGAAAAGGTTGAGACTATTTTATATCAGATAAATACCACACAAGCCATTTTTTTGTTATTTATCGCATTGTTTTGAAAATTGTCCTCTTTCTTTCTAGAGGCTTTACCAGACAGTAGGATTTAAGAGTGCATCACCATTCAAAACATAGATGTTCATGAAAATCTTAATGTGTGAAGCATTAATACTTGATTTACAGGTCAGAGCATATTTTAGTTTTCAATTATTGCTGTACAGACCTTTCAAAAGGACAAGTGACAGATTTATAAATTAAAATATAGAGAAATAAAGAATCCCTAAAGAACGTCCAAATCGACAAAATTGTAAATGTTGCAGGCTCTGTTTATTTAAGCCTGATCATGGATGGTAATGAAATGTGCAAGTTACCGTCAACGCCCCTAGTATCGACTTATGCAGAACCTAATATTTAATCATGATAATTGTGAAATGTGGAATTTAGAAACATCCGCAGATGTCTTTATACGGCGATTATCAAGGAACCTCCATTAAAAGCGGAAAAAGTTCCCCAATTAAAACTGCTTGCGCCCTAGACGAGGAAACAATTGGTGAAACTAAAAACAATCGATTTTTAAACGGATCTGGTGATCCTGATAATGTGTGTTACGAATTAATTTCCTGAACAATTAGGGAGGGCTAAAATGTAAACAGTAAAGTAGTAGGCGCAGTCAAAAGGATGTTGAAAAAATAACCAAATTTGTCGGATGCTCAAGCTCGAAAAACTAAAGAAAAAAATAAAAGACTTGAAAATAAAAAGATAGAAAAGTTCCTGCCTATAATCCTTTCTCATAAACTCATGCAGACAATTCTCCTAGTAAGACCTGAACACAGAAAATACTTGAGATGCACACAAAATAACAAACATTTCTAATTGATCTTATTTAAACAAATTACACACATTCCAACCGTCTGCTAATGACAAGTCTCTCTACATCATTGTTGAAAATCCTTTAATTGGTACTTATTGAAATTTTAAATTCAGATATTTGGAAGATTAGTAATTGGGCAGAAGCATGGTTGGTTGAACTCAATACAAATAAAACTGAATCTATTCTTATATCAAAATGAAGTTATAACCAATCCACCCCTCTTTTTGAACAACATTCAAGTTGCTGAAGAAGAATCTCATAAGCATCTAGGAATCACTCTGTCTTAAAAGAATCATGTACAGAATATATAATTGATATAAAACTTATTACTTGGTAGAGATTCAACATTATGGGAAACACAAGTCTACTCTTGAAAGGCAATATCTTGGATTAATTTATCACTCTTTTATCACACCTATTTAAGAGTACGCTAAGGTAGTATGGGATAATATGACATTGAACGAATCAAACGATTTTGTGCAAATTGATTTGGAGACCGCTTGTTATTTATCAGGAGACACTACCTTTCTAACAATTACACTTAGTCTTGTTTAGAAACCCTAAAATCAAGGAGACGTAATCACAAAGTAATTATGTTCTAAGAAATGGTTTACATTATGGTCCCTTCTTATCTAAAGTTATGTACCTTTAGTAGTTGAAGACATCATTTCATATACAAATAAAAAAAAATAAGAAATAGGCATAATATTCATTGTATCTCTCAGTTGTTCTCAAAATTATTTCTCTATTTTACTTTCAAAGATTGGAATGAATTATGTGTGGATACAAGAAATGCAAGTAGTCTGTAGATATTTAAAAGAAAACCAAATTCTAGTATCATTAAAATACCTTCCTACAACTTTCATGGCACTAAAATTTACAAATACAACTTACAAAACTACAAATAAATTGATTCATTCTCAAAGAAGATTTGCTAAATAAAAACAAAACTGATGATCTATTTTGTTAGTGTGATGAGATTGCAGACACCAGTATTTTATGATTCTGATTAAGGCTATTCTAATGCATCAGCTAAGCCATTTAACAACAATAACAATAGGTATTCTATAAACTAGAGATAATATAAATCTTTAAATAAATCCAAAAACAAAAGAATGAAAAGAAAACGTTGCAGTCTCGGTTTAATTGAGCCTTTTCAGGGAAAATGCTTGAAAGTGCAAGTTATCGTCCACGCCTTCTTCTTTTGTATATTGGTATATCAAAAACTGTGCTCGTTTAAGTTCTTGTCTAGAGATATTACAATATAATTCATTTCACATTCCAAAATTATTAGAACAGATCAGAATAAAAATTAATAGTGTGCAATAATTAACGAATCATAGTTTTATTTTATTTCGGGTTCACTGATTCCAACACTTCTCAATGTCTAAAAGAACATAATACTCCACTCGATGTACGGTTGAGTGAGAGATATTGTACTTTTCATTTTTCATCATGCACAGACTCAATAAAACCGAGTCTTCAATTGTTCATGCAAATTTGTTGTGATAAAAACTTCAATGGAATCACTCTCTTTTAGATTCATTTACTTTCAAGTCATTTTTAAATACAGTCTGCTTAATATTGCAATGGTATAATGTAAAACAACAACACCAAACAAGACAAATAAAACACACAAAAGCAATCAAACAAGTAAAATAGCAACAACACATATACTGATTTTAAAAAAATCGGGAGAAAATCAGAGTTCACACAGTTATACAGTGCTAATTAATGCAAAGGTGCTAATGGAAATGTTTCTGAACTACTATAACAAATGGCGTCAGAAGCCAATTACATAAATTATATATTATATATTTAAAGCAAAACAAAAGAAAGCAAATGACAGACTGTTGCTTAAAAATGGTTTTATTACATTTATCATCAATAGACTTTTACTATGTCTAGTATATACATATATCATACCTTAATTTTATTCCAGTTAATTCAGTTTTTATATTATTAATCATCTGTACATGTATAACTCATTAACTGGAGAACCATTTCTCGAACAATTTCTTCCGATGGATGAATGTCTAAGTTCCGCTTGGCGATAGTAGAGTCCATGTGATCCAATACAGTTATTCTATCTAAGATTCCCTTAAAAATGTTTCGCATGATATGTGTAAAGATGAAACCGATGAAATCATTTCGTCTAATTTTCCATATAGGTTCCTCCAATCTTCGATAGGCATGGGGTAATTTTATGTACACTTTTATATTAGTCTTGGTTTTAAAGATCCGCTTTAAACTCGTTTTTATTTCTAATATATGTGCAGCAAAATGTTTGAAACTATATTGTTGCAGATGAGCATATAAATGCAAAACGAGTAGAAGACCATCATTATTTTCTGATTCTGATTCAATGACTTTTTCAAATGAAATGCTTTTAAAAAAATTGTAAAGATTTTTCCTCTTAAAACCACACACTGGAATGTTATGTCCAAGAAAACTTAATGTCATGTTGTATTTATTGAAGTTGCATCTTTGATAGTCATGCCACCCCTGTCCATGAGTGCATGTTGCTTCACTTACAGCAAGAAATTTGTTTTTTAGATAAACAAACCACTGATAAAGTGTCGAGTCACCCCAAAAAAGTAAAGTCTTATTACGAAAACACTCCTTATTGAAGCTTCTTAAACCTTGTAAAGTACAATACAATTCTTGTAAAAATGATCTTACAAATGTACAGACGAGCTTTCATTTACATTGATATTAAGGGAAAATATTGCATTTATCATCTTTTCAAAACAAAACTTTATAAGTAGGTTATCCGTAAATCTCATAGAAAATTATACCTTCTAATTATAAACAAAGAAATTGATTAAAATATGATTCAATAATGATAAAATATTTTGCAATCTTTATAGTATTGAGAGAAAGAGACTGAATAAACGTCACAATTGTTGTGAATAGAATAAGCATTGCCTTTTAATATGATCTATTATATCAATATGTTTGAAATTAATATATCACCTTTACAGTGCAAAAGAATCCATTTGTTCTTGTAGTAATATCCGGTAGGTTTTTCTTTGAACCACAATTTTGTTATATTGTAATTTGAACAGGAGATACTGGTTTCTTCAAATGTAGTCCTGTTTGCACTATCGATTGCATTTGGAAGTATTTCTACAGTTATGTTAGACTGTATATGTGTACGCCGATCCCTGGACAAAAAGCGGATTGCATTTAATTTGATCTAAACAGTTTCTTTTTTAATTGAATGTGTATACAAATTATCTGAGAAGAAGAAAATAAACTAATATGCTAAATATGTTGAGGATAACAATGGAAAAAAAACGTGATAAATATAAATGAGGAAGTAATGCTTTGTATTTTTTGATGTCATCAATGTTTCTTGCATTTTGCAGGAGTACCGTTTAACCAATACCTGACATTGTCATGACAAGAAATGAAACAAATGCTGACAAAGTGTATCTGCTTGATGATCGATCAACCATTAACAATATCAATTTTTATAGTTTTGGAAGTTTGTCATGTATCTTGCAAGTAAAGTAGATTTTGCAAATTTCATGATAAGCGTATAACTAACTAATTTGCTATTCACAAAAAAATACTGCTTCAATTTAGAGTCCCTTATTTACTTAGCCGTCTAAGGAAAGCGTATCAAACGTCTTTGACTATATCTGTTTTCCTAGCACCGCCAGAACACTTTATTTTGATATCGGCAAGTAAAGATGGTTTAGTAAATCATAAAAAAATGTGTAAAAATTGAACTGAATCTTTTTTACAAACAGTTTTAAAAGGCATTGCTTATTTTATTGAAATTTGTTTACATATTAAAACAATTATTACATACTTAGTTTTTTTATGAATCAAATGTCCATAAAGTCGCATTTTAAACTACTAGTATTTGTAGTAGGCTTTAATCACCGTCGGATACACACGGCCGAATCATTATTATTAATTGGCCGTGTTTTTGTTGTTGTTAAAGAATTTCAAAATTAATCATTTTAGGCTATTGAACCTCTGTGGAGTTCCTTAAATATTGAGTCGATTAGACGTGTGCCAAAGACAGATTTTTAACTGTTTCCCTTGCGATTTCATGATGCGATTAAAACCAATCAAAACGCTTGTACTAACGACATTTAGTATAATATCAAAATGGTGGCAATCATTTAAATTATGTTTGTGGAAACTTCATTATAAATAATGTTAACGATTTCAAGCAAAAGCAGTGTAAAATATTATTGTAACTGATATAATTTTTACCGTTGCCGTTGAAGAATATATATTTTGTTAAACGAGATTTTATTGGTGGACTTATAACGCGTCGGTTGCCGTATATACACGAAAATAGGATCATTTGATCTAATTTGACCTAATTACATGTTAATCAACCTTGTTATCCGACGATGAGGTTATATACCTTTTATTCAGCTGTTGTTCACATGTGTTCATTCCTCGGGTAAAATTCTCCCAGTTACGGGTAATTGCTCTCCAATGGTTACATGAAAGCGGATATTTGGGTCTCCCACAAAACCATTGTTGTGAATTATTCCAGTAGGAAAAATTACACAATTTAGATTCTTTAGAATATCCTTTTACTGTTTCGTTGTCTGGGCCACATGTTGTTTTATCAGTATAGTTCTTGTACGAAAAAATTGCCAAAATGTTGGAAAAGTCCTACAAAATCAACAGTTAAGGTTCACAGACATTTACACATAAAACTACGTGACATTGTACAGAGTGGTTAATCTAAAAAGTAGTATATATCACAAAGCTTTTGTGTTCTATAATAACAATCGTAATTATACATATATATATATATATATATATATATATATATATATATATATATATATATATATATATATATATATATATTATATATATATATATATATATATATATATATATATAGCTGAAGTAATACTTATGTCACTTAGCACAAATGTCACTTAAAACATATTTTTATTAACCGTAAAAATACAGTATCTACCCTTATATATAAAAAATATATATTTTTTAATATTATTACCCAGGAAACATAAAACAAGATGGCATTCATCATTTCAAGTGAAGCAACATCTAGTTTTAAAAAACACAAACAAATATCCTACACTTAATAAAAGAATAACATTTTAAGATTTTGAATTTAAACGGATTTGAAGTTCATTCTACGGACAACAAAAAAATCATAAAAGCAAATGGATAAAAGATAAATGAAATGAAACGATAAGAGAATATAAAGAAAACCTAAACCCTGAAGAAAAATTAGACAATTTGTGATATGTCCTATATGTTAAACACTTTAAAGGACTTTGCAACCTAACACACTTGAAACAATATATTGATAGCGTTCTTATAAGGGGTGATATCAATTTTTGTAACATTTATCCTATATCCTGTGAATACAGACTTATTACTCGTTGTGTCTGATGTTACCAATGTATATATACACTTATACATAACACCATATGAATCAGTATTCAAGCCATTACAGTGTGGTAAACAAAACATCAAGAACTTCTACACTTAAGGTTTTCAATCAAAGAAACGGCAATGCTTTTGGTACTTAATTTGCATCGACATATGTAAAATTAGTACTAGCATATTTTGAGGAAATACTATACACTTATCATAATCAAATAAACAATAAAAATCACAGAGAATATCAGGTCTTTCCTTAACTAAAATAACAACAAACACTATACATGCACTAGCATGACCATACAGGGTACGCTTATTTGATGAGCAAAACAAGTATTCGGGCTTAAGACAGAGCAATATTTTAACGCACAATTGATAACAATGGAAAGGACATGTAATCTAAGCACGTTATTAATATATCAGTTGTTCTGGTCTTGCAAAATATTCATTACATGATTATAGTATACGCCCTTGCCTTCGAATGAAATGCTAAATAATGAAGTGTTAAAACACACATACATGTATACATTATACAAACACTTAAGCATTTTATATAAAACTGATAACACAATTGTAAATATTTCGGAAGTTTGTCAAACATAAATATCACAGACGGTTTATTAAATAATAAAATATTATAACTTAAAACATAATCTTAAACTCTTTCATTCCTATGACTAGATATCAATTTACTAGTTTAATAAAATGTGACGACGTAAGTGGAAACATGTATAGAGTAGTGTGCAATAACCTCGGATTGCCTATGAAAGCCCAAAGGCTTATTTCCAATGGGGTCCTTGGATATATACTTACTATAATATACAATATAAAACACAAAAACATTGAAAAATACAAAACTTTGGAAACTGGAAGATGTCATTTACGTAAAATATCAAACTTTAGTATTTCCATTAACTTTGCTAAAAGGAAAACAATAAAAATGAGATCAATATCTAGTCATACTAGTGGATTTTATTATGATTTCCTAACCTAACTGTTCTAGTAAATGGGCCTTCACTGAGCTTTTGAAAGCTCCTATCTTAATAATTTTTTTGATGCATGTTGGCAAGGAATTCCAATCATTAATTGCTTTTTGAAAAAAGTTACATTATCTTTCCTATAACTTCTAAAATTGTACTGATTCGCCCGAGTTGAATGAGAATGAATGTCTCTAACAGGTATAAAATTTTCTTTCATATATGAAGGGCACTGGTTATTAACAATTTTAAAAACATGATTAAGACGTAATTGCTTATTTCTGTTTTCTACATTTAGTAAAGACATATTAGCAAGAATAACATTATTGACACTATCTCTAGGTCCCATAGCGTGTATAAATCTAACAATTTTATTTTGACAAATTTGAAACTTATTTTTAAAACACTTGTTCAGGCTCGGGTACCAAGAAGAACATGCATAATCAAGGTGACATTGTATTAGTGCTTGCCTATACAAAAACTTAAGACGTGAATTCACCTTTGTAAGAATACTATTAACAATAGATTCACCTGGCAAAGAATCATCAATATTTAAACCTAGATATTTGACAGATTTTGTGGATTCAATAGTATGTCCATTACAAACAATTTTAAACTCTTTAACTTGTTTCAGTTTACGTTTGGAACAAAAAATAAGACATTCAGTCTTTCCTAGATGAAGTGACAATTTGTTATCTACAAGCCAAGATGAACAAGACTCTAGTCTTTGTCTAAGTTTTTGGGAAATAATACTTGGTTTTTGTGAGCAAAAAGAATTGAACTGTCATCGGCATACAGAATAAGTTTACATTCTTGATCTATAATAATTCTCATGTCATTTACATAGCACAAAAATAAAAGAGGACCCAGGATGCTGCCCTGGGGAACCCCATATATAACAGGCATATAATCTGATAAAATATTATCAACACTAACAGTTTGTTTTCTTTAAGATAAGACATAAACCAGTCAGTATTAGATTTCAATTTCAATTTTCCGCATAAAATATCATGGTGAACAGTATCGAATGCTTTTTGTAGATCTAGCATTATCATGCCTGTGTATAAACCTTTGGAATTATTGTTTCTGATATGATCCATAAGATGGATAAGACAAGTGTCAGTGGAATAGGAATTTCTAAAACCTGACTGTAATTCATACAATAAACCATTAACAACTAAAAACTTATCAAGTTGAGAATACACTGATTTTTCTAAAATATTTGATACAATGCTTAAAATGCTTACAGGTCTATAATTTTCTACTTCAAGATTACTGTTCTTTTTATATAAAGGTTTTACCCTAGCTACTTTCATGTTACCAGGAACATAATTTTCTGAAATTGACATATTTATGATAAAAGTAATTGTAATTTTCAAAAATGAAGCTACATCTTTTAAAAATCTAGCAGGAATTTCATCTAAACCATTACTATTTGATGAGTTTAAATTCTTAAGCTCTTTATATACAAATGTCTCAGACACATGTCTTACATTTTATTATTCTTAGTATTTCTATCATTATAAAAATCTAACAAAGCTTGTGAGTCAATGTCAAACTTTTTGCTAGCACAAGGTAACTTATCCACTAGCTTAGAAGCAACAGTAGTAAAAAGTCATTAAAATGATTAGCAATTTTTAAAGGATTATGACAATTTTCACTATTAATTTTCAAAACAATATTTTCATTCACTGTTGTTTTGGATTTATACCCCAATTGTTTTAAATGTTTCCATAAGCCTTTTGGATTATTTCTATTTTCAGCAAATTGATCAGTAAAATAAGAAGACTTAGCATGTTTTACTTCTCTTTGAACAACATTTCTAAATTTACAATAACAAGAACAATCTTCATGGCAACCATATTTTCTAAACTTGTATAAATAATGATCTCTTATTTTGATATGGTCTAAAATCTCTGATGACATCCAAGGTTCAGTTCTCTGTTTTAATCTAATTTCTTTAACAGGAGCAATGGCATTCAACACTGACATAAAAATATCTTTAAAAGCTACCAATGAACTGTTTACATTATCAGAATAAAAACATTTACTAGTCTGCTTGACCTAGTTTTTCAATAAACAAATCTTTACTATAATTTTTGTACACATCTAACTTTAGAGAAATAAAGTTTTGAGAAACTTTGTTTGCTGATTTTCCTTGTACAAAAAGACAAAAGGTGATCACTAAGACCAACAGAAATAACACCATATTGACTTAGCCTATCTTTTGGATTGGTAATTATATGATCAATTATACTTTTGTTTAATAAAGTAATTCTAGTGGCTTCAGAAATGATCTGTTGTAGATCAAAAATTTTCAAAATGCTAGTGTAGGATTAAAACTATCCTTTTGGTAAAAAACAAAAGTTAAAATCTCCATGTAACATTCACAATCTGATCTAAGACTATAAAAAAACATTTTCAAAATGTTCAATAAAATTGATTGTTTTGGAGGTCTCTATATGGTACCTACAAGTATTCGTTTGGTTTTTGGTAAAAGGATTTCAATTAAAATTTCATCATTAAAAACATTTAAGTCAGGTCTAGCAGTAAAGGCAATATCATTCCTCCCATAGCAACACACTCCTCCCACATGCCTGTCTCTATCATATCTTATAACTGTATAATTGTCAATATTAATTTCTGAGTCTGTAACAGACTTGTTTCAGATATACCAATAACAGCTGCTTTAGTTTTTAATGCAATTATTCTAAGTTCAGAAATTTTAGGCAAAAGAGATCTTACATTTAGGTGTAAAAAATGAAGTCCTTTTTTGAAGCACTGGAAGTGATCATCGTGTATAGTTGATGGTACAGTAGTTAAAGTAATTGGTAGTGAAGTGCTGTCAAATAAAGATGATGCATCATGGTCCCGGAAATCTGTAAAATCTTATGATGAACTGTTGTCTTTAAAAAAGTCTTGATAATCACAAAAAGGCAGTAAAAAACCTTTCGGATTCGGAACCTGTCTTCTCCGAATTCCGAACGATTTTTTTTTAATTTTTGTTCTTATTTTACTCTAAAATTAATCTCTCGGATCCGAACAGATTTAGCCAAATGTCACACCTACATTCAAAACAACAAATACTCTCACATCTTGCAGGTGTAAACATAAACCAAACTGATGATAGTAAGTTCCCTTGATTAATGGGTGAAATGTATGATTTGCGAAGGTGTGAAAATTACGCTTAGCTTGCCTGAATATCTACTTTAATTGCTCAATTGATTGATTGTTTTTCGTCACATTCAATATTTTATACAGTACAATAGAAATATA